TATTATAAATATACTATAAAGGAGCCCTAAACCCTGTTCTAATTATTGAGGCCCCCACATTAAACTTCAACACAGACCCCAGCCTTGAGCCAACGAGAATTGCATCCGGAGACGAGGTTTAAAGCCATCGACATCGAGGAGACAGGCGTCATCACATACAAGAACCCTGTCTGCACACAGCAAGTTCGGTTTAAGGCTGCAGCGTTGGAGACAACTTTCGGGCGTGCAGCGTGTGGTGGCAAGCCTTCCATGGGGCGGAGACCCGGAGTAGGCCCTGGTCCAGGACAGCCATGCCCCATGCAGATTTCATTTGAGGGTCGCATGGTCAGGGGAGGTCCTCCTCCCCTGACTTGTATTCAAAGTCCAAAGCCTTTCAGGCATGTTGGGTTTTATGGTTTTGTGGTCTTGGCCCCAAGAGCCTTTAACGGAACACCCTTGAACCCAAAGTCATCCTCAGCACATGCCGAGAACGACCAGCAAAAATACAATGTTCAGAAAAGCCCCCAGCCGAGGATGCTGGAGGATCAGGTGAATTCCCCGGAAGTGCAGACCTACTTTGAGGCCATTGGCTTGGATGTTTGGGATGTGCCTTGGCAGTGCAGAGAGTCGTGAGACTTACGGGTTTGGCATTTAGGAGGATCAAGCAAGCTTTTGGGGCACGGACTGCAGGCAGGGGGTTTTGAGATGTTTGAACTTGTGTGCAGGGTTCGCAGTTCTTCCTGGTTCGATTGTTTATCCTAGACACCAAATCGGTGTTTTACTGCTACGCTACTACTGCTATTGCCGCTGCTACGGCTACGGCTACGGCTACTGCTACTGCTGCGGCTGCCCATAGTTCTACTGCATCTCACTCTCTCTGTCTCTCTGTATCTCTCTCTCTCTCTCTCCCTCTCTCTCTCTCACTCACTCTCTCCCTATGTATGGATGTATACATGCTTCTTTATGTGTGTGTATGTATGTACAAATGTACAAATGTATGTATGTATGTATGTATGTATGTATGTATGTATGTATGTATGTATGTATGCAGGGTGTCTACGCTCTTGTGGGTTCCGGCAATGTTCCAGCCGTTGCCGCACTGCCTGACCTTTTACCCCATATTCCAAAGTGATGCTTACCCTAGACCCTAAACCCTAAACCCGAAATCCTAAACCCTAAACCCTGAACCTTTTCTTAGGCCTGGTCCTTCTTCAAGCTCCTTGACTCGGATGGAGGTGCGGGTTTAGGGTTGAGGGGAGGGATTGGGGGAGCTGTTGGGGGTGGTGGTGGCGGTGGTTGTGATGGCAGGAATGCTACTTGAATGCACCATGTTGCAGTCAGCGCGGCATAGGCAGCATGCCGGCGCACCGAGTATGGTAGTGATCATGCGGTAGCAAGACTACACCACGCAAGCGCGAGAACAGGGATCACTACGGACATGGAAGCAGGAAGAGGTGTTGTAGCAAAGCGCAGGAATCACGGACCACCAGGCACGTCAAGGGCGACAATTGCCAAGAAGTCTTGGCGACTCTTGAAAAGTAGAGCTCCGAACCATGCAATCCTTGAGTTGAAACCCTGCCACCCCAAACCCCACACCCATTTACTGCTGTTCGGTGCTCACACTCGGACACTCCAGGTTTCCCCCTCCCTGAGATCCATAAATCTTGGCTTAAACCTAGTGAAGGACCTCAGGCACTGCCGGCGTTGGATCGTGCTTGAGAGGGAACGAGTAAGATAACGGGAATGAAGGTTATGCAGGGCCGGGTTCGACCTCAGGTACTTGACTTTGCACGATCACCGGAATACTCACGATTCCGATTGTGAATTTCTGGAGAACATTCAAAAGAATCAACACCAGCAACAGTCGTTACATGTCCCAAACGCCATACCAAAACTCTCTAAATCCCTAAACCTGAAGCCCCCAGCCTGGGCCGCCCTAAACCCTAAACCCTAAACCTAAACCTTAACCCTAAACCAAAGGCAAAGCTACACCCTCAGCAGGCGGTGCAGTGGAGCTGAACGAGTTCCTAATGGGCTGTCTCAGATTGCGGGGGCAGGCCTGGCACTATCTATACTATGGGATCTATACTCTTTCTACTGTAGTATACTATACTATACTATACTATACTATACTATACTATACTATACTATACTATACTATACTATACTATACTATACTCCACTATACTCTACCATATTTCACTGTAATACACTATACTATTCTATTCTATACTG